AGGGAACTCTCATACTATTGGATATTGAAAGTTTCCTTTACCATTTTCTTGTGTATTTTTCAATTACTTTATAAGTAATCAATATTGTAAAGTTGGAAACTGGCAATTGATAATTTTTTAATACAATAGAATGGATAAAATAGATGATTAAGTATAAAGATTTAAACTGAAGGTGAGTGTCTTTTGATATTTTTTGCAGAAATTAAGAAAATACTAATTTCGATATATACTAAATACTATTGTGAGTATAATTTAATTATATTTCCAGCATTTTCTATTGACAAGATATGTGTTATGAGTGGTGTTGAAATATTTCATTAATTTATTGGGATAGAGAAGAATTTTTCCAAACCAAACAAAAATCCTTAATTCAAATAATTTATAACATTTAATTTCCTACATTGCAAAATTCAACTAAAGGTATTTGGCCTGGATTGTCGTATTATCTATGGTTTCATCTTGTAAGCTAATGGCTAAAATTCTGAAAAATTGATGAAATCTTGGTTAAGATAAAAAAATAGATTTGTAATTTAATTTCAAGATTCTTCGTAGACATAGAATATATGGCTTTAAATTATTAGAGAAGTATTATTTTTTTTTAATAATTGATTGTACTATTTTTTAAAAATATAATAAATTAATATTAATCTTAAATTATATTCGATTAATTCTTAATATGTTAAGCATGGATTAATTACTCATGATTACATTCATGAATTTACTCTTCTCAACCAATCAAACAGTGATATATTAATTTGATGCGAAAGATAACAATATTGATAGTAATAATTGAAATTTGAAATTATTTTAGATTGGACAAAGTAGAATGGTAATTTTTACTTCTCTTCTTGCGGAGGAATTCCCTATTTTTATTCAAGTGGTAATAATATTAACAGATTATTTTTAAACCTAGAACCTCATTCTCATATTAAAGTAGATGCAGAAATTATAATGTAATTATAATTATTGTATATTAATAGTTTTGAGAACGGTTAGAATAGTTTTTTCTTGGACTTTATTCAAGAAAACTACTAAATAGAGAAATCATCAAACTAAAATTTAATTTGTTTTTCTTCATCAACTTAATATGTGAATAGTATTTCAATCAGTCTATCACATAAAAGAAAAAGCTTTTGGATAAGAATTTCGTAATTCAATGTAGGATTAATAAAATTATCATTAAGTATCACATGTGAGTATCATTGTGCAGAATGCTTTGTCTAATATTAAGGTTAGTGCTTATCATGGAAACTCCATTAACATTCTTTAATTAGTAAGCCATCGCAACAAATTCTGATGGATGGTCTTATAACTTATATGTTTATTAGGGTTGGGATTGCGGGGACTGCTAATTTTAACAATTTCATAGAATTAATTATGTTACAATACTCCCTCCAAATTACGATATATTAATAAGGTTTTATCACATTTTTAGTTATATCTATGTAAACTATAATTATGGTGAAGAATTTATCGAGAGTTAGTATGGAGTAGTAGAAATATTAATAAAAAATCATCCTGATGATCTATTCTAACTGGAGATTAGATCTGCTGGAAGTCAAGGTGGCATAAGAGATTTTGAAATATATTACAGTTAGCCAGCACCAGTAATAATAATTCAGAATGTTATTTTAGGCTGTTTAGATTAAGTTGATGATTAATGTCTGTTTTGCTAAGAAGGTTGGATTTAAGATGACTCACTATAGAATTGTCATCCAATATGTGGGGATGGTATCATTTAAGGATTAGAACAATGTGATGATGCAAATCAAGTATCAAATGATGGCTGTTTTTAATGCAGGTTTTCTTGCCCATTTTTTTGCTAATAATGTGAGTTTGGAAAATGTTTAAAGTGTTAATCAAATTACGAATTAATCGATAATGGATGTTTAGAAATAAATAATATTTATGCTTTAGAACCATTACCTGAACTCTAATATTCAATTTCTAATTTATTAGATTAAGGAAGTTATTATCAATTGTTATTGCAATATTAGTTTGCTGATTAGTAGACATAGCCCATACATATTTCGAATTAACCCTTATAAACGGATGATATATTTGGATATTAGTTTAAGAGAAAAACAATAGAAAATTGCTTATTAAGTTTATTTGATCAATGTCTAGAATGTTAAACTTTTTATAAGCCATCTTAGAATAAGAATAAGTGCATTCCGAAATGTGATGATGGAATTGTTATTGAAAATGAGATTTGTGATGATTTAAATAATATTCAATTTGACGGTTGCTATAAATGCTAATTAAGTTGCTAATTAGAATGTAATGAATGCATCCAATAATAATGCTATTCTTGTATTGATGGTTGGTAGTTGATAGATTAAAAATGTTATCAAATATGTGGGGATGGTTTATTGGCTATCTCTTCATTAGAGTAGTGTGATGATGGAAATTATCAACCTTATGATGGATGTTATAATTGCAAATTCGAATGCAATTCATATTGTTTCTAATGCGATAGTTCAAATAATTGTTTATTATGTGTAGAAAACTTTGAGTTGATTGAACAAAATTAATGCAAACCAATATGTGGAGATGGAATTATCATATAAGCATTAGAGGAGTGTGAAGATAAAAATGATATTCAATTCGATGGTTGTTATTAATGTCACTTTTAATGCAATCAAAATTGTATTAAATGTGTACAAGGTATCTGCTAGGAATGTACTGACGGATATGATTTAATTATAAATGAATGTCAAAAAGTATTAATTGATGATTCAAATGAAAGTGACGACATTAACATAATCAAAATCTAAAAATGTGGAGATGCATATAAAACAACTTTTGAGTAATGTGATGATGGAAATCGAGATAATGGTGATGGATGCTCTAACAAATGCATGATAGAAGAAAATTGGAATTGTAATTAGGATTAACCTAATTCCTGTCTTTTATAAACTAAATATTCCTTAAAATATGAAAATCAAACATTTGAACATTAATTTGTTTCTCTAAAGTTTTCTAATGAAGTGAAATTAGTTTCAAATATAAATTTTACTCAATCAATTTAACCAAAAATAATCAATTTAAATTAAAATCAATATCAAATAACAACTAACCCTGTAGTGGATGTTAATGCAACTTATTTTACTATGGCTTTGTTCGAGTTTGAGATTGTCATTTTTGAATAAATGTCATAACCAAATTTTTCCATTTCCTTCCATTCATCTTTAATTGATAATAACAATATGCCAGTTGATCTCCATTCATAATCATTATTACTTAAAACACCTAAAATTATCAATTAGAATTAAATTAATATTGCAAATAAGTTTCAAAATCTTGGAAATATTTTAATTATAGGCTTAGGAGCTATAAGCATACTGATGTTATTGTTCAAATAACCATTGCAATGTTTTGAAATATTTGACCTTTTACAATTTTAATCATATTTGAAATTTGTAAATATTTCTTATCCTTAAAATCTATAGATTTATTTTCAATCTTCAGAAATTGTAACGGTTAGCCCAATTTTATTTTCATTAAAAGTAACAGATCTTTTTAATTAACTCATTACTAGCAACTTCATTCCAAGTATAGGAAAGTTTTAAGAGTATCAAACAAATGCTGACTTACTTTTCAATATTTAGAGTTAAATCTTTTAAATTGTCTTCATTAGTTTGTTATACTTATTTTTATACTTTTATCCAAGAATATCGCATAATTATTTATTTACATTTAGAACTGTTTATTTTACTAGGAAAAAGAATTTATAATGGCTCAATCAGCTCGTAATTAAACTATATCTAATTAATAAAAATATCTTAAATTTAAGGAATATTTACTCTATGAAAGGTTTTATTCAACTCTATTATGCAAACTGCTGGGATTTGCTTTTTAAAGTTTTTTTGTTTATGATCTCGAACACAGAAACAGGATATCGATCAAAGATATCGTATTGTATTTGTTTTTTAGTTTTGGGGGTGACCTGAACATTAAAGGAACGAACGAAAACTTGAAAGTTTCAAAACTAAGGTTTTAATAGTTTGAGAGCATAACTTTATTAAAAAAACTCTTATTTATCTCTATATTAACTGCTCAATAAAGTAGCGGCATAATTCAATGCGTCATGCTAACACTGTTGAGTTTAGGATATATCGGATTATTATTAACGATCAAGTAAAATATAGAAAGGAATAATTTGGACGGAAGTTCCAGTCATGTTCTTTACATTAATAAGTTTAATTTATTGTTCTGATTTTTCAAGTATTATGAAATATAATGAATAAATTCTAATTGGCTTAGTTTAAATTGTAATCTTGATATTTGACTTAGCATTAGTGGCTATAGATAGGAGTGATCGATGCAATCTCGCCGCGAGG